TCAACAGCAATAGGAACAAATCTGAGGACAGTATGAGCTATGCATAAGAGGATTTCTTGACAGGAAATCCTCTCCACACTGAGAAGGCATGTTGGGGGTCTGTGACTAAGTTCAATGCCAGTTCCCACAGGTGGTTCATTCTCCACTGAGGAGAGTGCCAAATGGCAAGACTGGCAAGACCTCACCATGGGGCTTGTTGTGGTATATTTGGCCAGTTATTTGGTTGCTGAACAGAGACTAAATAATCCCATGCTAATCCCTGGAAGTTTTTATCATCTAATACTATGTAAACTATGGATTCTACAGAAAATTTGCATTGGATTGTTATAGTCCACTCCATGCAGTATATGTAAATTAATATTGTATTGTTGTATAAAGTCCATTTTTCACTGTGGGAAAATAGCAGAGGTGATGGTGGGAAGAGTTGTGTGATAGCAGTGACCTCATCAGTACACCGCGACTCTCGCCGTCATCCCTCAAGCAGTATCGCCATTGGATCACCAGCTAGAGCCTCCCAGATGAGAGAGAATGCGGATCGATCGACATGGTCAGAGTCTATGACCTCTGTTCCTGTGGTTTTCCCAGCCCGAACACCGATACGTCCCATTGAAGGCAAAGAGAATGTGTCGCCCACTTCGACTCCCCCCCTGGACAAATACTTAAGCAACCCCAGCCAAACAGAATGCCCCTAACGACAATGAGGACCCGGGCATCCACTCGAGCCTACCGACCGCCGAGCAGAAGGGTGATCTCCACGATCATTGAAATTTGTGGTCGTTCTCGGTACTTTCCAGCGGTCATCCACAGTTGCCCTCAGATCAAGCCTCACAGACTCCGCCCGCTACTCTCTTTCTTCATGGCATTGGCGATATTCTTGACTTCTGGTGGAACGCTTTTGATACTAATGACTGTATCCTACTGCTATAATGACACCCTGAGTCGCCAGACCTCTGATCATATTCTGATCGACCTAGTCGACAACAATATTGTGCATTTCTGTCGAAGCCATCAGGCGCTGGCTATTTTTGGCAAGATAATAGTGAGGTCATTGCTGGCAGGTGTGCTGTCAGACACCCCTCGTATTATCCGGACGCAAAGCGGGTACGGTTTCGCCTTTTTCGATATGTCTTGGACGATTTAAAGGAGGCTAATTACTGTGGTGGCCTAATCAAGACCCGGATGCAACGAAATTGAACTCCTGTTGTGGAGCAGCGAGCCTCAGTGATGCTATTCTCGTTAGACCAGAACTTCCCGTCGGGTTCATAATCCAAGACTTTGGGCAGCACAAAATGCGGTGGCTCGTGAGTTCCCCTTGTTCACCACTCCCCTCAAGACTTCAAGACCTCAAGACGCTCACGCCCACGTCCATCTGCTGCTTCAATGCGTGCCTTTGCCCCGATCCTTGCGGCCTCTGTCCTCGCGTTCTCATCGCACGTTGCATCGTTCTCGATCCGTGCGCTCAATATCACACACGCGCCCAATACCACACGCATAGGTACAGCCAGCGGCTTGCCTTCACTCACCCAGCAGCAGCAGCAGCTTCTTCACGATAGACTCTTCCAAACGAACCTGCGCGGCCCAAGGTGGAGTACGTTATTGCTGCATGATGTTGTATATGCTTTTACTAACTGTGCATTTCGCAGCGGGGAATGATAACCATAATGCCTTGACCGATCTCGTCGCTGAGAGCATGGAAATTGCTGGGTTGAGCGTCGAGACGCTCAACTACACACTCAACCGGCAAGTCCATCCTCTCTTCTAATGTCTCTGTATATGCTCATTACCGTGTGCCAGGTGGGACCCTCGATGGTGGTCACTCACGCTTCACCTCAAGAACGGCACAGATCTCGGTCTTCCGACGACTGGATTCTGGCCGTACAGCGGTAACAGCGGTTTGCGTGGCGTAGTCGCGCCGTTGCACGACGCAGGCACGTATGGACTGTTCCCCAGCCAGAGCCACGACACGAGTACGCTAGATTTCGATAACCTCCCTGAGGGAGGCGCTATCGTCTTCTTCGACAACCCAAGTCCGACACGCAACTATTCGTTGCCTGGATACCATTTGCTCGGGTGCGTATATGCACTACAAATACAATTTATTTAACTGACCACTTTTTCTCGTATTAGAACCTCTCGCGATATACCACCTTCTGACATACCAGAGGTACGCATATATTCTGCCATATATAACTCCTCTAACATCTTTTCTCTCCCAGCTCGGAAATCTCACGAACCCGCACTGGCAATCTGAAAAAAAGCTCAAATTTGACGAACTCAAAAAGATGGGCGTCAAAGCCGTCATCGCATCCTGGACCAACACATCCGACGAAAACGCTGCCTTGCAGTTCCTGCCCAACGCTGGTGCACCTGGCAACGGCAATCTATTCGACGTCCCAGCACTCTATGTCGGAAACTCAACAGGGGAACTCATCAGGGAGATGATACGCACAGGTGAAGCACATTCAGCGACAGTCGTGTTGGATGCGCCTAGCTATGAGGCTCCGACTAAGACTGTGGTGGGACATTTGCCTGGAAGGGCAGAGAAGGCGGAGTCGATTCTGCTGTATACACACAGTGCGTATCCCTCCCGCATTCATTGGACTAGTAGTCTGATGGAGATCTTTTTAGGCGACGGACCTTCTATTATCGAAGAAAATGGTGTGTCATATCTCTAATCAATTTCCAGAACCCTAGCTAAATGACAGTCGAACTAAACAGGTCCTCTACTCCTGTTAACCATCGCCGAGTATTTTGCAAAGAACCCACTCAACATTAGTCTAGAGTGAGTGGCGCCTTCCACCCAAACGTCATATACTCACTCGTCATCCCACATACAGCATCGTAATTACCACTGGACACATGTCAGGCTACCATCTCGATGAAAAGCTTTGGATGTCCGAACGGCCCGAAATCTTGCGCAACGCACGAGCAGCTATCATTTGCGAGCATTTCGGTGCACTGGAGTGGAAGGATAGCTTCCGCGATAAGAAGCCTGTGTATGAACCTACTGGGAAATGGGAGCCTATGTGGACGATGGCGTACGTCTTTCCTCTCCCCCTGCCCCTGATTGTGGCGCAACGTGACGGAGTTTGGCTGACATTGCTTGTAGGGATGATCATAACGAGAGCGGCCTTCTTCACCAGTCATATATCGAGGCGTTTGAAGGAACGTCGGAAAATTTGAGGATGGCTTTGCTGGCTCCCCAGACAATCGACGGGAAGCGGTCTCGATGGTACGCATACACACATCCCCCCTCCTTTCCGTCACTCAGCCACTTCCCGGACGCTAATTCCTATTCGCAGGTATGGAGCTGGTGGAAGCAGCGTCCTAGGGCACAGCAATCTCCCTACCATTGGGTACGTACCTTCGCTCCCGCAGTCATTGCAACCGACCTGAACGCCTTGAAGAATCATTCCTCAGCCGGATTACCTCTGGGCGGCTATGCCCGACGGAGGTTGGAGCAAGCTCGACGTCCCCATGGTTATCGAACAGATCGACGTTGTCCTGCGGACCATCTTGAAACTCGATGAAAAGTATTCTGCTGGCCAGCTGTAAAACAAGGCGCATATAACCAACGAAAAACCCCAGAACAAAAGTTTTCTTTTTATCTTTTTCTTTATTGACCCGTGGATATGTAGTAGAGTCGCTGGTTCTTCGACTGTACCCCATCTCTCTCCCCTTTACGATGCTTTATGACCCCTTATGACGAATTATGAATGATAAATTGTGATGAACCCCTTCACCGGTAGCGACTGATCAAAAACCGACTTGAAACGGAACGTTCGAAATTGTCCATGAATCGTAATCGGCTAATCGAGGGTTAGGGAGCGGCAAAACGAAATCCTACTTGCTATGAGTATCGCTTTGGGTTGCTGCTAGCCGACGAAAATAAGGCAAGTAGAGCCTTCCCCTGCCGATGAAAAAGACATGGTCTTCCAGTGTATCCGACCTGCTTGCCTTGAACAAGCGACCTCAAGACCAAAACCGCTACGACACGTGTATTATAATCTCGCGCTCTGCCAACTGAGCTAAGGTCGGTTCGTGAAGGCTGTATGTGGACCCGGAAGGAGACGTGAGGCGCGAGAACGTCCGATACTGTCGATAAAGGAAAGCAGGATTGTCGATATCATAAAGTCAAGACTACAGAAGGGATCCTACAAAGACTCTATTCTGAAGGGATCGTAGCCACACTATCCGAACGGAATGTTTCTTCGTAGACTGTATTTCTAAGATAATGGGGGTTAAAGCTATAAACTCTCACAAGGAACTGGACATTTATCGAAATAATCAAGTATACTGCCAAGTTGAAGGACTGGAGGAAGTGGGTCAGAATGACCAGTCACCTTGGAGGGGAGCATTGGGGTTTCTTGAATTCGTATATTGGCTTGATGAAGTTGAAGTTGGGATGATTGGCGGGTTTGGCCGCTGTCGTCCCAGCGCGGCCTGTTTGGCGGCCCAAAAGTTTTTCTTTGAAGCCTTGGTTTCTGCTGCGAATTTTATCTGTTTCTTGACCGGCAGATGATTCGACCCTATTACACAAGAAAACGTGGAGTCCTCGATCAAAAAGTTATGTGCGCCGGTAAAATATCCCCCTACATGGGGCGAGGCCAGAGCAGGACCAGCTGGACCAGAGGTTAGGGACTCGGCACTTCTTGGAATCGTGGAGCCAACGCTTTTGTCATCGGCTGGAAAGCTGATGTACGTCGAGTGTCCTGGGATGTCGTCGTCCATGTTCGACACTCCTGGGAATGGACTGCTGGCTGGGCTAATATAACATGTAGTCCGAGCCCAGATGTGGCCATTTGTTGAGAGGGGCAGGGATCGAATGAAGTGCACCAGAGAGCTCCGGTGTATTGTGGGCGAAAGGTATCCATAGTGCTCCTCGAGAGGCATACCGTACAGATACACCTACAAGGTTTGGTGAATGAGACATGGTTCGTATCGACTTGAGGAGAAAAGTTCGCACATGGATAATGTGCTCTCGATACACATCAATGACCGTATTCGTCATTGTACCCGCTTGAAACCACCCATCAAGATTCACCGTGCGCCAATGTTTCCCAAGTTCTGTGACGATATCTTCAAGGCAGGTGTCGAT